ACTATCTCAGCTGTGCTTTCACCATTCCGGATCTATTTGAGTCATGCAGAGTATAGATGAAATGCTAGTTTTTGTCGTTTTTGCAAAGAGGGATGTTCTTGGTTTGAAACCATTAGATTTCTTACAGGTATTTCTGGTTCAGAAATATATTTCATCAAATATATTCTAAATTCTTCTATTTAAAAAAGAATAATTAAAGGTAGTGTGTTACTTTTCTTGTAGCATAATAGATTCAGGGAAAACAGACAAAAATATTTCTCTTTTCATTCAAAAAGAAACAGCTGAAAAATGTGAAAACATGAGTAAAACATGATGGACAGGGATCTTTTTAAAAATATTCACAAATCCATTTAATCAATTCTAAACACTTTGGCAACTTGGTAACGCATGCCTGAAAATAAATGTTTACAATTCATTATTATATAGTCCTTGCAATTCGGAATTATTTGGAGGCCCATGAGTGTGTTTGCTTACTTCATTACCCAACTGTCCTCACTTCTGTGTGCTCAGTGACACTTCAGACTTTGGCTGCTTCAGCTGTTTTTGAGTTCCATATAAACTACAGTTCTGCACAGGTGTTGGTGTCATTATTTGCCTGCCACCAGCTCTTGCATGTTTGTGTAGCTGGCCACTTCTATCATAAGATCCAATAAAAGGAAGGAGGAAGTAAATGGGAAGAAAATTATTATCTAAAGATTGGGAGTGACAGCCATTGCTGAGTTTTCATTCTGTATTTTATCTACAAAGCAAAAAACCACACAGCTAACGAGAAAACAGAATTTATGGTGCAGTATGCTGAATCAACTACTAGGTGGAAAACATGTCCCTAATATTTAAATATTTAAATTAAAAATAAGTGGGTTGGAGGGAAAAGAATGTTCATAAGCAGTCCACACCAAGAATTTTCAACATCTGTTTCTATCAACTAATTCAAACTTCTATTTTTTCAAGTTTATTATATTGCAAAAAAACCAGTAGAAACTGAGAGGAAGATGGAAAAAAAAAAAAGAAACCAAGAAATGGAAACCAGCTTCAGTTTGGTCCTCAGGATACTTTTGATTTATTAAACTGCATCTCAACATGCCTAGAGGTGAGAGGGTAAGTTAAAAGAACAGCACAGATGACAAAAAATATTGGGGAGCAAAAAATAATTTAAGCTACCTATGGTATTCATAAAAATATAAGCTGACACTTTGTGAAAGGCCACTGTACTTCATAAATCATAGGTTTAGAAGGGACCCTGAAAGATAAGGTATTCAATCAAATAGACGTAGTCACTACTAACACATTTTGGTCTGCTCTTCAGATAAAGAGTTTCCATTTTCTGAATGCTTTCCTCTTTTGTTCAAGATCATGCAGTTTAGCCAGGTTTATCAGGAAAACATTCAGTTTAAGCAGGTTTATCACTCATAACCCTTCATGTGTTCCTTCAGAGGGCTCACAGTTCCTGGAAAATCTTTTCATACAAATTCATGTTTCTCTTGAAATTTTCATTTGTGCTATCCAATTTTGAAGATTATAAATGTCAGCATTTCATACTTAGTCTTTCTAGGTAGGCCCCATGTCCATGTTTCCAATTAACTCTCAATTATGTAGAATAAAATATTTTAATTTAAATCACATCCTCAAGATGTTTTCTACATCTTCTGTACAACTAAATTGTTATTAATACCTTCCAAAAATTTGTGGATCAGTATGGCCAGGCCATTCGTTTTATCCAGCTGTTGAAATCAACAATGCAGACGTTGAAATCTGTCTGTGTCATTCAAAGATTCAATTACAATCAGTGCAGAAATGAAGTACTTGGAGTATATCATTCACCAACTGCATACCAAGAGAGGGCTGCAGGACTGCATGCTCAATTGATCATGTCAATCAATTGAGAAAATAGTGTTGATTGAGGGAATAGTTCTGGTCCACTCACCAGTTGGGCCTTATAAGAACTACAGCTGCTCTCATCATAGAATGTGTGAAATTTCTCTTGGCTTTATAAGGAGTCACAGAATATTCTGAACTGGAAGGGACCCACAAGGCTCCTCAGGTCCAGTTCTTAAATGAATGGCTCTTACAGGGATCAAACCCATAACCTTGACACTATTAACACAATGCTCTAATCAGCTGAGCTAAATATCTGTATAATGCTCACTGGAAATCAGTGAAGCAATTTAGGTTTTCTTCCTGCTGTATCACATAACAACTTTAACTTACCTGATTTCTATGTAGGTGTCATTGTACTGAGACACTGATAACAAGCAACTTAGTTTATATTTATGCATCCACCTAAAATTTTAAAAGTGATGGTTACTGTTATCGTTCTTCTGCTTCTCTTCTATGATACATGTGAAAGTTAAAGATATTCTAGTTGTAAAATTTCAGGAAATTGTTTACTTGGTTTATAAATAGCTCAACATTTATGTTGTCTTAAAAGTCTATGTTGGAAAAGAGTGCTCGGTTTTGATTTGAGAAAATGCCAACTGTGAAAGTAAACAACATGAGCAATTAACCAAGTGGGCTTTGCCTTTTATTTTTAACTGCTTGTCAATGAATTTACCACCCACAGCCTTCTCTGTGGGTGTATGTGCATGTACAGGGTATCTTTCAGAGCTGTTCAAATACTACTATGAAGATAGTATGGGAATTGTGTTTTTAATTTGCTTATTGTTTTATTCCTCTGATCTGTGCACTAGAAGTTCTTAACACAAACAAGAAATACACTCTATGCTGGGATTAGAAATTCTAAAATGGTATGGTAACTGAACTACTGTTTTTATTAAATGAAGACTTATTCAGCCTGCAGCTGGGGACAGCTTATTTTAATTGTATCAGAAATTATGTGTATTCTGTAACTTTGGCAGATTTTCTGTCAAAAGCAGTGGATCTGCACTCCTTAGCCTTTACAAATTTATGGTATATATTTGATCTCTTAGAAAATGTTACCATCTCTTACCTCACTGTACTACATAATCTACTCTTTTAAAATAGTGAATTAGAGCAGCTAAATGTGACTCTGGTATTTCCAGTTCCACAGTACTGTAAAAAGTGCATGTATTTTTACAGGTTGACATTTTTAATGATAGGTTAAATCAGGCACCGATATCTGGATTGGTGGGAATGAGGTAACAAAATTTCTATTTTTTTGCTTGCCACATTACCAGAGACTACAAGAAATAGCAGAGTTGCAAGCAACATAGAGGCAGCTATCTCCATGACATCAAGGAGCTAATCACCCAAGAATAATAAAAAAAGACAGTGACACATGAGGTTTAAAAGGAACAATTTAAAAAAATTTCAAAACTCACCAGATCATATTTATTTTTAACTAAAATAAAAGATAGACTGCAAACACGATGTCCAATAATAGATCTAAATCAGAAAAAGGAATGACAGGATTTCTAGGCTAATGACTAATTGCAGAAGTCACTGAATAAGATGCTATTGCCCATGTTGCACAAGAGGTCAGGCTAAATGACCATAACGTTTTCGGAATCTACAAAAGTAAGTGTTCGTGTCTTAACAGAGGGAGCTTCCTAAAAATACTTTTTTATACCACAGTTTGGGTCTGAGGTTGCACTGAAAGATCTTTCTCTTCAGACCTTGGGAAAGTGACTGAAACTTTTTCATTATACCTTCTATCTCTGTGTATACCATTACTTTTAAACAAGGAAAGGGCAGTGTGCAAATTCTCACACTGGGTTACTGATTAGAGACCCTGTTTCATCATCATGGTGATCTTAGCCACCTTCCTGACCCTTACTCAGCTGCTCTCTTCCTCTCTGCTGCACATTACAAGGGGAGAAAGTAAACTGAAAAAGCTGATGGGTTGAGATAAAGGAAGGGACATGACTTGCCAGTTGCTCTAACAGGACTCAACTCAAGGAATATTAATTTCATTTATTATTAATTTGAATCATAGTAGAATGATGAAACAAAATCAAAAAATATAAATCACCTCCTCTCACACATTCTTCACAAGGTTCAGATTCACTCCTTTATTGCTGAATCCTATACCTCCCCCTTGTTGCTGTCAGCAACCTCAGGATCTCCTCCAGGGAAGCAGCAGGATTCTGGGGACCAGCATGGAGCACCAAGGAGACGGGCTCCCGTTCATGAAACCATTTATTCAGCACGGGAACAAAGTCAGGTCCAGACCAGAGAGCCCTGAACAGAGGCACAGCAGGGGTTTTTGAGGGACAGAACTCTCAAGGGTCCCCACCTTTGAGGGTGGAGTTCAGGGTCAGGGACCAGTAGAAGCACACCAAGGGAAAAACCCCCAGGGACTCAAACCCAGTCAGAACACCTGGGCCGCCCTTCACAAGGGGTTTGGGGTGGAACAATGTTAACTCTTTGTCTCCCTGAGGCCACTGCCACACCCCCTTCTGAGTAACACAGAAGAGACAGGGAGTGGGGGACTGTGGGTAACAGGTTTTGTTGCTCTTAAAGCTTTTGCTGTGCTCCAGAATAGGTTTATCCTACAGGCTACAGCTTCTTTTGGGGCCTGCTCAGCTGCTGCAGTGTGGGGTCACCCATAGGCTACAGTGGGGATATCTGATTCCAGTGGTTCTTCATGGGCTGCAAGGGAATCACTGCCTTGCTGTCTGGAGCACCTGTTCCCTCCCTCCCTCACCACCCTCTTGTGTCACCTTGCTGTCTGCAGGACTGTTTCTCACTTTTAACTCGTCACTGCCTGTTCCTTAAATGTGTTATCACTGAGGTACCACCACCTGGGTTTATGGGCTTAGCCACACCCTAGAGCATGCAGGGCAGTCCCAGCCTCTCTTCACAAAACCCATACCTGAAGTTCCCTGCTAACAAAACATTGCCAGCTACACCCAGTAGAGTCCTTAATGTCTTCCCTGAATGTTTCTGATTGTTTGGGGTTTGTTTATGTTGTTTTTGTTTTTCTAGAATGACTCATCTGTAAAGAGAGATGACACTGGGGATGCAGCTTGTACTCACAGACACCATTCCTTGATCCTCTTTTATTTAACAGTATTGTCAAGTATCATTCTTCCAGCATCACAGTTTCTTTCACTTTGTTCTTATGGCAAATAGCAGAAGGTCTTGTGTCATCCTTGTACACCATCCTTGTTTTTACATAATTTGAGTAAATGGAAATGAACTGTGATGGACTGCCTAATACAGGATTATAGTGTCTTTATTCATCCTGAAACATAGCCATAATTTGAAACACAAATCACTATGGACAGGTAATAATGCTGTCATCTCAGAAACGTGTTGCAAGTAAAGAAATGTCAATAAACAAGCTTCATGAATTTTAGTTTTACACAACAACTTCATGTTTTTCCATTTTTCAGTTTGAAGATTTTTGGACATGTAGCAAAATTAGCTGCAATCTGTGTCTCCATATAGGAAAAAAAAGTAAAATGCAAAATACAAAGAAATCTATCTAAAGTAATCTAGAGATTGAATCTCCTCAGAAAAGTAGCTGGCTTGTTTTCTGTTATCAGATGAGTCAAAAACTCTACACAGAAATGGTTCTTTTTCTCTCCTCTCCTCGAGTCTCCTCTCCTCTCCTCGAGTCTCCTCTCCTCAAGTCTCCTCGAGTCTCCTCGAGTCTCGAGTCTCCTCTCCTATCTTTTGATCTTTTTTCTTTTTCTTTCTCAAATTTAATGATATAAATAATATTGACATAATTTTGAAGCAATATTTCATCTATTCAAGTACAAATTCTGAGGTGAATGTCTCCCAATGGGACACAACTCAATTATGCATCAGTTTTATTTGTAGTTCTCACATTACTGGTAGCTCTTAATTTTCTATTTTACTTGTAATTATTAAGTTTCTGTTTCAATATACCTGCAAGCTAGAAAATACTTTTCTTCTTTTGTCTGAGTAGATATTTATTCTCATGTGCTTTTTTTTACTATTTTAAACTGCACATTTTTATCGTATACCAGGATTTGGAGAATGTTACACCCCCAACACCCCAGCAAGTGACAGTGGATGTCAAGCATGAGGGTAATACTGCAGAGGAAGAGAAGCTTTTACCAGACTATAAAAAGCCACAAGATGTAAGTTGGCTCACTGTTTTAGAGCCGAGAGTTTCTTAGTATACTCTTCTAGGTGAAAGAATGTAAAATATCTTGGGCAAGAATGGCTGTCATTGGTATAGCCATCATCATCTTCATCATGGAATCACCACTCTAATAGTGACACCTTTCTTCCAGCCTTCTAGCGCATGGATATTCCCTTGCATTCCACAAGAATTTGTATTTTAAGTATTAAAACCAACAAAATAAAACTTGTTTGAAGTGAATCATTTAACCATACCTTTAGACATTTTATTTTTCCTTTTTACAAAGGAAGCAGAAACAATCCTGAAGGATGAAACTCTAATCTGACTCCAGCCATGTGACACTGAAGAGCCTAGGAAAAAATAACCACCTTAAAAATGGATGTTGAGCATTAGAGGATAGTTCTACCCACCATGCCTGCAAATGACTGTGTTTTCCTACTGTAAAAAAATTTATATATAAAAATGTGTAAGCTAAATATTTTAACTTTGGACTGGAACTTGATGTGAAAAATATAGTTTGCTGTCTTAAAATGCCTACAGTAGCAATACAAGCTTCTTTATTACTGACTCAGAAATATTCTGCAACTGGGTTGTTACAGCCATCACCTGCAAGGACCTTTTCCTAGGTCCTCTGAAATCCATAGTAATGGATTTTCAGATTTAGAGAATATATTTTTACCAAGTAGTCCAATCTTCCAGATACTTCCTGAACTTCTCTTTCCATTACCAGTATTGCTTCTTTATCATATACTTGGATCAATTTTATTTCTTTTCCCCCCAGTGGAACGAAAAGAAAATACTATCAGCTAGTTATAGTGGGGCTATTTTGTTTTGCTTTTTTCTGTCTATCAGTGGGATTTGTCTCTATACTATAACCTTAAGAAATCTGTTCATCTTCTTTGCTTTTCCCTTCCATTTCCTTTCATTCCTCTGGAAGTCAGATTGTAACTCATAGCACTTTAAACAGTACTGTAGTTCTTTGATCTGGTGCTTAGCCAGTGAATTTGCTCTGCATGGTGAACTGAAGCAAACTGCCAACAATCTCCTTAAGCAAGTAAAATCCCAGGAGAGCTCTATTCTCCCTTTAGGTTGAGCTTGTTGTTTAATGGGAAAACAACATCTATTTTATAACTATTTTAGGAAGTTTAATAAGATGCTCACTATAAAAGAAATAGATCTGAAAGTATGAACATATCTGAACTGAAAGTACTTACCAGAAACTGATTCTTATTTTCTGTATGGAATTGATGTTTCTTTCAGTGTTTCTCTCTATTGTGATCCCCTCACAGAATTTTTACTTTTCTTGGATCATAAATCCATATGATTGCACAGATCATCTGGGTGCCTTGACAAGTGTGATACTGCAAAAATTGGGTTGGCCTGCATTTCTTAGGCTGTTATGAAATGTATGTGAAATCTACAGACATCTTTTAGGAGATAGCCATGAGCAGTTCCAATGTCACAAGCTTACAATCAGTTACTAAGTTTAGGGTTACTTTTAAAGGTCCTTTGGATACAATTTCTGTTGATAGACTTTTTCTTATTTTTCGTGTATCAGCTTGTCAGTAGTTCACACTAAAATAAGAAGCTTTGGAAATGCAGTCCCTGAACTCAGATATAAGATTATTACTCTGAGATTGAAAGCAAAACATGACATTTTCTTTGATAACAAAGGAAAAAATCATACATTATTGGACAAATCTTGTCACAATGTCCTGTGTTAAACAGGAGTTCAGAAATAAATTGTTATTTTTGTAGGGAATCATCAATGTGTTGAAATTATGAAGCACTTATTTTTCAGCTACAATCACAGCCAGTTTTATTTACTATTTATAAATGTCAGTAGAATTATTCACTGAAATTAAATTAAAATAAAGCATTATTCCTATGAAGCTCAGTATATGCTTCTGTACAAAGTGTAGCAGACCTAATTACTTAAAAGAGAGGACTGTGAAAACATCTCACTATTTTTCCACCATACTGAAGGACATCCTAATAATTCTAGTCATTATATGCTTCCATGGATGCTCAGTACTCCCAAGCATATTTTCATTTCACTTTCAGACAGGTTGTCCCACAGATGGGTAATATAAAAAGGACATTATTAAAAATTCTGTATTATAGTAGACTATTTAAGAGATACAGAAGAAACATACAAAGTCTCAAAATTAAAGAATTTATGAAAAATCTCTGAAAAGCAGAAGAGCTATAAAGTTTGTAGAATTATCTTCTGGACTGTTTGTCATTTTACTATGTCTGTTTGTTGTTATTTGTTCTAATATTCTAGGGAGACAGACTGAATTGTCTTTCCATCTGAATTTCTTCTCAAGAATTTCAGATTTGTTTATATAAAAAACTCTCGTAACAAAAATCAATATATTTGTCTGTCTTTAAATTTAGTTTTATTTCTCATGGGTATCTGTTTTAATTTTATGCGAGAATTGCATGTGGTGTTTATACATGCATGTTTTTTTATATGCAAACTAGACCTTGTGTGAATGTATTCTAGTAGCTGGTCTTCAATTGATGATCTTCCTCAGATTTTAAGCTATCAAAAACCAATAAAATTCCCAAGTTTGATTTCTGTGCTACAGTCACCTTTAGCAGTTACTGAGACTTTAAGTTATGGCATAATGTTTTAGAGGCAAAATGACAGGATTAGCACAGGACTAAGCAACAGCTTGTGGGCAGAAGCACAAATTCCCTTTAGCTTAATAGGCATCTAACAGAACAAGCCAAAACAAAGTAAACCAGAATGTATTTGGACCCTGTGCAGATTTTGAACAAAGTTGATTGTTCTACTTAAGGGAAAAAAAAAAATAAAAATGCAGGGGTGGGGGGAATGCTACGAGAATCATCCTTCAAACTAAAATATCTAACTTAAATACTGGGCAGGGAGTGAGAGGTCCATCAGATGCTAGAGAGAAAATGACAGCTCTCTGAATTACATACCAATGAAAGAAATTGGAGACACAGAATAAATCCAGATTCCTCAAAAATTATTTCATGCAAGCTTAAACAGTAAAAATATTCAGTGCAAACTATGCTTCACGGACCACAATATTTTCTAGAAAACATAGGAATAATGTGCTGAAAAGTTCTCCTCTGAAGCAGAGTTTTCTACAACTTCCATTTGCTCTTAACTTTGAGCTTCACTCAATTCTCTGAACAGTCAATTAAATTAAAACCTACCTCTGCATACTTCTTTAAAGTGCATCACTTTCAAACAGCCTCAGAGATTTTAATTTAGAAACATGTCAGATATAGACACACACATGTATATATATATATAATGCAACAAGCTAAGCTATGCTTGCTTTTGCTGTTCAATTCTGTCTAAACACACCTGCTTCAAAACACAGAGCTTATATTTAAAATTTTTCTTTCAGAATTATTGAATATCTTGTCATTCTTTCATTGTGTGATATACCATCGAGATTAATGAACCATCAAGGTTCTTTTTTATGTCACCCATCACCTCCATTTTATTTTTGATGAATTATTTAAGCACAGTACCCTAAAAATCTGATTTTTTTTTCCAGGTTAAAACTCTTATTGTCCTATTTTTTTTCAATTAAAAATACATCTGCAAGTCAAAGATGCTTGATTATAGTTTCTAACCAAGGAATCAGGATACTATTCTACTGTTAGTATAAGGCATTTATGAGAAAACAATGAACTTGTCAAACATGGTTTATGAACATTTCCAAACAAGAACATATGATTTGTTGGGGAGAAATGATGGTAAGAATTCCAACCAGATAGCCAGAATATAAATTATAATTCTGATTTATAGATTTTTTTCAATATCAAATATTGTTTCATAACTTCCAGTTGCAATCTAGATTATTTCCAAATCTGATGAGATGATGATAAATCTGAAGATACACATTCAAGAAGAAAATAGATAAAACCAGAAAATGGTGGGGGCATTTAAGTTAAAAATACAAAATCTTTGTTCCACGTACATGAGAAAATTGAAGTGTATCAAATTTTTAGAATCAAGTAAGAGCACAACTAAAATCAATAAGCACTACACCGGTAAAAAGAGAAAAGTGGGAACAACCATTGGATTAAGTGATAGGACTGGGACAAGTCCTCCAGAATGTTGCTTTTAGGTGACCAAGTTTAATTTCAGCTTCGTTAAGTACTTGAATTCTTCTGTGGTTCTGGGTGTACATAAAAAATATTTTGAAATATAATTTTTTAATTTTATTGCAAAATTGTTGCAGAATTAATCAGAGGTGAGTTATAAGTGGTAGGATTACACTGTAGGTTAATATAAGTATAGAACTAGAATTTCATACCTTTCACATGTTCCCTGATTTCCAGCAGTGGCCCCCTGAAGGCACAAAAAATCAAGTTATTAGCTTTCAACATTTCTCTGTAAAGAACATGTTTTTTTCTTCTTCCATTGTATCCAAGCAATCATTTTAGTATTCTAAGAAGTGAGTTTGGGATCATCTTTAGCAGAAATACGAAGGCAGAGACACTTGTATATGTAGCAAATGGAAGATTTACGGTCTTGTAAACCACACCTGGTATCCCTGTTAGTGGTATAATTTCAGAAAAGTCTTGGAGATTTTACCATTTTATTGCATAGTAAATCAAGTGACAAAAATTATTTGTTACTGCTGAGAAGTATTATGTAAAAAAAAAAAAAAAAAAAAGGGGTTACTTAAATAGTGATATTTTGTATACTTCTAAATAGGTTGGTTGATACACATTATTTTACCTTTCTATGTTTCTTTCCTTATATTGTTAACCATGAAGCACACAATAAACAAGTCTATTCTTGTTACATAAGGTTCACAGTACATAATTACATATATATTAGCAAAAACCATATCAATACAATATTCACTTGGGTCATTCTCCTAGTCTTCTCTGTATACTTTATTATTTTACGTGGAGGTGGAATTCAGATTCATCCACATTATGCAGGATTTAGTTCAGCTGCCTACACACAGAACATTCATACCTTTTTGGTGTTGGGTGGTTTTTTTTTGTCTGTCCTACAGTTTCTGTTTCAGAACTACAAAGACCTTCTGAAAGCATTGTGGTCTAACTACCATAACATAAGAAGAACAGTAAGAAGATTTGTGCATTCTAGAGCAGGCAAATTTGCAGTAGGTGCTTACATTTAAGTAAACTGATAAAATTTATTGTCAATATACTGACTGAGACAAAAACAATTTGCTTAAATGTGTTCACCTCATGCCATTTTCCAAATACTCCAGCTGACACTCAGGGTGACATATGTCTGCTTTATATCCCACCTGTCACTTCTGTGTGTATGTTTTGGATATCCCAGCATACCATAATTAGCTCCAGGAGCCCATATTTGGGGCAAATGAACTAAGTCTATGCAGACTAAAATTTAACCTGTTCAGCTGACTAAATTTGCAAGTCTCTTAAAGGCTGAACTAATTCATTCAACTTCCTCAATTCAACTATGATACAGATTTGATTCATTTTTTCAAAATAGGTGCACAACCCATTTGAAATGCTTTTTCATGTCATGTTAGACATCGAGTGCCAGTACAGAACTACACATCTCCTATGCATGTCTTTTGTTGTTTCTGGAAGGTCCACATAGATACTTTGTTAAAGAGATCACTGTTAAAGATCTCATTGCGCACTGAACACACCTAAGTGCAAGTAAACAAATTTCCAGATGCTCACAGACTATAATGGCAGTGTAGACAGATCAATGTGTGCGTGTGAACTACTTAAATATTATAGTAAATTACCTAAGAGGAAGAACAGCTTTACTTTTTGGGCTGATTTGATGGAGACAAATACTGGAGGGCTTCTAAGTTAACTGAGTCTAACATTTTGTAAAATGTTGTGGGAGCAAAAGGGTGTTTCAAAACATGATTATGTACTACCTGATGTAGCTCCAGACACACAGCATAGTGCAATATCATCAAAATGGGTGCATGCTGCCATACTTTATGATCTATACCTCAGAATTCTCAGCAGGACTAAAGGTGGTATTTTAGACCATGCAGTAAAAACTAATACTTTGTAGGATTTCTGAATCTGTTTCATTTTGAGGCATGGTACACTGTGTCCTTTGAGGTCCTTAACCTGAAATTCTCAGCTTCAATTTAAAGAAAACAATAGTCAGGTATTGGTCCTGCTGACTCAGAAATTTACTTTCGTAGCTGATATCCTGCTTGAGCCTGAATACCTTAACATTCACATTTGCTGTTAACCATGTCATTAGAGAATTTGATGTATGATCTTTGGAGTAATTCTTAGGGCAGGAAGAGTAGTGAAGGAAGTGATATTGAGTATTTTAATATGAATAATAACATTATCTAACAGTGCTCAAAGCGTGAACATAGCTTAGGAGAATAAGAAATTACTATAAGTACAATTGCTCACATTTATGAGTTCACACTTCATTGTCTAGGCATATTCACTAATACTTGCTCAGAATATGATATTTCAACACAAATTCCAGAGAGTAGATTCATCAATGGAATACTTATGTACAAGAAATAAAGAAGCATACATTTTTTTCAAATTTTAAACCACTTCTTTATTCAGGATTATCTGAAGTATTTGTTTAGGTTTAGAGTTCTGGTTTGTTTGGTTTTTTTTTTCCCCTAGCAGCAAAAATACTATACTTGTTCTTCACATTCAGTGCATTTTTTTCTGTAAACTTTAGGACCAGTTCTAATCCATCTTCTATTATTGAAAAATCCTTTTGAGATGTGAGTTTTTAAAAGTTATGAAACTTAAGAGTTCCAGAAATTCTTCAATTCATTCTCATTCGTAAATACCTGAGAAAGAGCTTTTATTTTCTGAATGGATTTGAGGCTTGACTGGAGCATCAATAATGCATAATGCATCTATCTTTACTAAAATCATCTTCTGTTTCATGTAGATTTAGACAACTTCCCATGATTTTTAAGTATATATGGTCTGATTCAGTATAAATAATTGAGTTTCCCAAAACTTTTGGGGGTGCACAGAAGATATACAAAGGAAGTGCTATGGGCAGCTGACACAAGGATGAGATGAGTCACAGACATTCACTTCTGAATTTCGGATATCTGAACACAGGAATTTACAGCTATCTGAGATATCATATCTTGTGCCAACTTAACTTTTTTCTCCTGTCATGTTACCATACACTATTCCGTGTCTGTGTCTTTTTACCATTAAACTGTTGTGCATGTAAACTTTAGATCCATGCATGCAATGCACGCATGCAACTTTAGGTTCCCAGTTATTCTAAAGAAGTCTGATGGCTTTTAGAAATTGGCAGGGAAAGGCAATATGCCTTTGATGGATGCCAGAAACAGGGGTTGTCCTCCTAAGTTTAGTTTGAGTGATTTTCTTTCTCTGAATCTGAAAATGAACCACATTTTTCTTTATTGGTTGTACATCCATTGAATGACACTTCCACAGCATGGCACATTCACACACAAAGCTTCTAAAATTCTATAAAATTGTCCCAGGGCAACTGCCATGAGAGGATTATATGTGCCCTGGAGTACTACATCAGGGTGGAAAAAGCTACAGAGGGGCTGGGAAGAGGCAGTGAAACTTGTGACTTCCCTCAGACCCTGTCAAGTGCAGCCCAATCTATGCTAATCTGCAACAACACATACAGAAAATACACCAGTGTTGTATTCATTCCAAATTGATTTCATCAGTTTAAAATGAAGCCTTAACAAAAGTGATCTTCTTGGAAAAAAGAAAAAGTTAAAAAATATGTAAATGAAGGTATGTGTTTGTCGTATGAGAAAGTTATTCCTAATAGGAGGTAAATAAGAAAAGAAAAATTGTCAAACAGCTAGATGCTCCTGTCTTTGAGATTGCTTTCCCACGTCTTAACTTTGGAAATAAAAACCATGACTCATGAATATAAAAGATTTCCTAAATCCATGTACCAGTTTATCTGATTTTACATGTGGAATAGTGCAGTTTTACTTACATTCTTTAGAGTGCCTCCTTTACCAGGCGATTTCTCAAAAAATGCCCCAAATGGCACAACAAATATCAATGTCACAGTGAATATCAATGGCACAATGAAGCCAATATAACTTTCTGTATCCTAAAGAGAAAACATGTCTTGTTCTTTTCCTACAGTCAATATTTATGTCTTCTATCTTCAACCCAGAGTTCTAATAATTTTTTAGTACACAGGTTACTTGTAAAGCTCTGTAGCACAGTATCAAGCTTAATGCCAATGCATTTTAAAAGTATACAATTTCTTCTGACAAACAAAAAGGAACATTAAGAATGTAATGTCCAGCACTATAACATAATTGCATTTCTCAAAATTCTTATGAAAGAATGATCTTAGAGACATATGACAAATTTGGAATATGAAACCACATACAAAGAAATGTTTCACCAAATATTTTTACTGCTTTAAAAATAGCAATTTCCTTCTTTATCATTAAAATATCTCAGAAATTAAAGAAATAATGAAATATTGAAATAGCTGTAGGTTTCAGAAGACTTTGGGGGCAACTCTTTCTAAATTTTTTGTGTTTCCATTATAGTAGTATAATTAGGCATATGAAGCTAAACAGCTAAAACTAAATGAGACATGCATTTGACACTGAGCTGTAAAGCTGCCAGGAATAAAGGAGTGCCTACGTTTATTAATCAAACTTCTGACAACTGAAGAATGAAATGGGTCTTAAAATTCTGAGAGTAATTTTAGATAGAAGTAACTATGATCTGATAAAGTACATATTCACTGACAGCAAATGATCCTGCTTCACATCTGCCCAACACTGCTGTCCTGGAAAAAGTAAGAGAACCAATGTGGACTTCATCCAGCATTCAATCTACCAGAAGATAAATATAACCCTTGTTTAATATTAGAACTTTCATATAACTTCAGCAAAAAACCCCAAAAAGCAATACTTTGAAATGCTAACATTTACAACTGGTCTTTTTCCAATGACACAAAAGATCCATTAAGCCTTTTCTAAGAGAGAAAACAAAAACTTAAATGCGTATATTATGGTATAAATCTTTGGAAACATAATATTTCATTGGATAAATATATAAACTGAAAATAACCCTTACTGATCAGAGAGACATGTTGACTTGTCAACATGTGAAAACAAAATCATTGGTGAAGTAATACGTTTTTTGTTTTTTTGTGGTAGGTTTTTGATTTTTTTTTACTGTGGGGAATGTTTGATTGGTAGATTTTCTTTTTAATTGCAAGGAGAATGATGGATGTTGGGACAAGGGATTTTGGGGTGGTGGTTTTATATAAGCCCTTCCCTTTTCTTTCACTGGACAGTGTTAGTGTATAAGGACTAGAAATCAGTCAGTTATATCTTTACTTAAAATAC